ACGTATGATGTTTACAAACTTCTGGGGCATTCCGTGGTGAGCAAGGGTCTCAAGAAGAACAGACCGGTCAACCGATTCGAATGAGCCTCAGAAATCCAGGAATACTAGAATCGTGGGTCGCTTATACGTATGGCGTTGTTCTAGCATCTGACGCAGTGTGAAGATTTGGTCAACACAACCCCCACCAGGCCAGAATCCCGTTTTCTGCTCTCGTGTCAGTGTCTTACGAGCCATCCTAAGGCGACGAAGCAAAATTGACGCCAACAGTCTCGTTACAACCGGGGTCCAGCTGATCCCCCTGTGGTTACCACACTCACCGCGCGCCCTTTTTTTGGAAATGGGCACTATCACCGATTCTCCCCAGTTGTCTGGGACAGACTCCGTTTCCCAAATGCAAGCAAACAGATCGGACAAGCGCTGGCTGAGGACTTCACCCCCGTCTTTGAACAGTGCGGGTGGAAGGTCATCCGGACCGGGAGCTCGGTGGCGCTTGAGAGAACATATGCAATCGTAAACCTCTGAGGCCGTAGGTGGTTCCACGTTCACCGTCCAGGGTTCTACTTCACCTGTAGGCCCTAGATGAGTGTCGGCTGGCGGCCACGACAGTTGTTGTTCGAAGTATTCGAACAAGTGTTCGGTAATAATGAAGCACAGATTCAGTTTATCGCAAATAACAAGGAATCTGCTTAAATGCTGTAAAAAATGTGATCCTCCATTTCTAGCGGAATTGAACCATCCGTAAAAACCAAGACAATTTCTGTTAAAGCAGTAATTTGGTTTGTGCTCTCCAACATCCTGAGTATAATCTAAAAGGACTGGGGAAGACAAGAACATACAGAAATCTGGCGCAGCGCACCTGTTCAAAAGACGACGCTTCTCATACATTTCGTAAAACAAGACATCTCCCTTTTGTAACCAAAGAAAGCATTAGCCATGTGCGGCAAGGTCGATGCGAAAACTGAAATTGGAGACCACCATTATGTCATTTACGGTACCCTAATTTCTTCTGTTCATGAGTCGCTAACACAGAGACCCTTCTTCAACCATCACGGTGACATAAATGCATTGTACAGGATCCCCCTAGTCATTACTTTATCCTACTCTATTCCTTCAGTCAGACAACTCCTCAAGAATCATCCGAGCCTCTACTCCGTCATGGTATATTGCCTATCGATCCAATTCGGAGAAGGCACTGGATGGCTCATTCTTTTGTTTGTGGTAATGGATGACGGTGCTGTGAATCCGTTAGCCAGTCAAGATCCGACACAAACGAGTGCTTCTCATGGAACAGAGAGTAACCTCGAAACTGTTAGGTTAGACTGCTCCAAATTTCTAGTCGTAAAGACTATATGGTCGGAATTCAGTTACATCCACGCGATTGTAGCCAAACTACCATCAATTCAAAGAAATCGGCGCGGTTTATCATCATAACACCTAATGTTGTAAGGTTTACACACTACTCTTAAGGTTGCTGAAAACTCGTCTGCATCAACTTTATGAGTAGTGTAGTACGTCTGCACTATGTATTGCGATATCTCCAATATCGTGCCAACTGAAATAAGAGGCAGCCTGGTGTAGCAAGAAAGACATCATAAAGAAGAGATCTAATTCTCTGTGAATCTCCCTTGAAAACCAAATTGGTGTGTACATGAGTGTATTACGAGTGGCATTTAGTTTAACTACCCTTGCTGTAAACCTGGTCACACGAGCAACATGTTCATCCAGAAAGCTTTAAGTTTCAGTGGCTCCCTCAGACCAGACTGCCGGGCAGGCAGGTTATCGTCAGTCGGAATAAACAGAATTGGCCAAGCTACCCAGAAGTCATTTGAACACATGCTCGTACAAGTGGAGCCAAAACCATGCTCACTGCCGTGCACGTTCAAGGACAACGGAGTGTGGAGGTGGCTCCATGTGGTGTAGTCCATGTACGAACATGTTCACCTGCTGTTCAGTGATCATCAGAAAATCTTTCCATGAGCTACTGAAGCGCCAGCTATTGGAATACATCCATTATTGATTCCTGGGTGTTCGCTCAGATGAAAGCACCACCTGCATGAAGAGCTGTTTATGTTTGAAGTCAAGCTTCCTCATGGATGCCGCTTCATTAATCAGTCGGTTCTACATATAATTAATTATAAAAAGCTGACCAGTCAACCCAGGAGAATCGCTTATTCTGCTTGTGTAGGCTTGCAGTATGCTTAGATGACCTTGAGGGGGATCATTCCCGATGAAGTGGCATTACCATTGGGGATGGATAGGGCAAGCTGAGTAGTAGCTACAATTTTCAGCCAAAACGAAAAATCCAATGCGGTTACATCGAAAGGCGTTTGCAGTAGTTTGTGTTTTCTATAGAGGGGAATGTCGGTAGCTCATGTAGCGTAGATGGTCGTTGGCTTGTTCGCTGAGCTGAATAATTTGGTTGTAAATGTTTTATCACCAATCGACAACCACTAACCCACCGGTACGCACAACTACGCACTGATGATGTCACATCGATTGGTGATGAAACGTTTGCAAACAAATTGCCCAGCTCAGCAAATAAGCTAACGACCATGGATGTGATCTTCACTTGTCGGCCCAGCATAAAGTGAACAGACTTTAGCTACAGGGTCGTAAGTGCCATGTAAACGGTTCCCTGAACTCTTTTTTGCAGCCACGCTGCGTTCGCATGCGCGATGCCGCAAATGTGTGGGTCACTTCCGAAAAACCTTTTTTTTACAAGGTATTCAGTTAGGCTAGGTCAAGAGAATGTTTGACACCCGTTTGAACTTGTCACACGATGCGGAAAGTCGGTTTCCCACCTTTCCCCATTGATGTTAGGAGGTCATACTCACTGTTTTCACATGCACACCAAGTGTCTATAGAAGATGACCGAGGATGATAAAGGCCTCCTTTGGATGGTGTGCTCTCAGT